CTCTCCGTCCCCCCGCACGCAGACGACCCCGGGCACCTGCACGCAGACGACCCCACGGGCCCGTCGGAGACGCCCTCTCCGTCCCCCCGCACGCAGACGACCCCGGGCACCTGCACGCAGACGACCCCACGGGCCCGTCGGAGACGCCCTCTCCGTCCCCCCGCACGCAGACGACCCCGGGGCCCATCTGAGAGCCCCTCTGTCCCGCCTGCCCTGATACCTCTCCGTCCCCCTCCCCCCAGCCCAGATACCTCTCCGTCCCCCTCCACAGCCCTGATACCTCTCTGTTACCTTCCCCCCAGCCCTGATACCTCTCCGTCCCCCTCCCCCCTGCCCTGAGACCACTCCAACAGCCCCTCCATCCCCCCAGCCCTGATACCACTCCAACGGCCTCTCCTTGCGAACCAGCCTTGGTCATTTCACGGCTCATGACCTGCCTGGAGACCAGACCCCAGCGTACTGTCCCGGTGCGGCTGCCCCACAGCTCGATGCCCCCTCAGTCCTGGGCCCACGTAGCTCACTGCTCGTCACTGGCTCCCCTCTGCCTTTGCCTGCTAGACCCAGGAGCCCCCCTCTCAGAGCCCCCCTGCACCAGGGTCGGGTCACCTCCGGGCCGCCCCTTGGCTAACGGAGGAGATGGGGCTCGGCACGGCTCTCCCCAGCCCCCCAGTCCTGCTGAGCCCTCCCCAGTCCGTCCACGTCTGGGTTGCAGCGCGGGCGCCACAACTGGGTGCAGGATCCCGTGCAGGTCTCCCCAGCGCCGTGCCCGAGGTCCTGCCGCTATCCGACATCACAGCCCCGTGTGGGGCTCCCCGGGGCAGCGTGGGAGCCGCTGTAACGGCGCCGGGGGCTGCGGGGGGCTCTTACGCCATGAAGAAGTCCCCGCCGGAGTTGGAGAGGCAGCCGCGCTCGGTGGGCAGCACCGACGGCTTCAGCCCGAGGGCCCCCAGCACCAGGGCCAGCAAGTAGCACAGGACGATCAGAAGCACCAGGCAGCAGAGACAGATGCCCACGATCCACCTGCGGGGGAGACGTTAGAGACCCGGTCCCTGGTGGGGCAGGAGTCTGGGGGCTGGCGGGGGGTCACCCCCTGCAGCAGGGGGAACCTGCTGCCAGACTGAGGGGGGGGGTCTCTCCTTAGAACAGACCCCCCTCGTCCCCAGGGCGCCCCAGCTCTCGGTGCTCCGGGGGACAGTGGGCTGCTCCAAGCCAGGGCTGGCTGCTCCCCCGCGGCGGTCCCCGGCCCGACGGCAGGGCTCAGCCTGCGCTCCCCTCGCCCCCCCCAACAACCGCCCCCCTCCGAGGGCAGGGGGCTACGAGCCCACCCAGGCGTTGGTCCCACACCCCGACGCAGGGAAGGAGCCCTGCAGCGCGTGAGCTGGGGACACCACACCACGTGCTATGCAGCTCCGGCCCCGGCGACCCCCCAAGAGTCCCCGATGGATCGGGGTGTCACGTTGCACTCTATAGGATTTTATGAAAATATGCTAATGTAACTGGGATATGCTTCATGCAAAAGGTCTCTTGTAAGGTATCATTGCAAAGCTTATAATCTCCTGAGTGTGATCATCGTATTTGTATAAATGTACCACTCTTGTATCTGGGACTAGAAATATGAAACATAACTCTGAGGGCCTATTGTCATTATGCAAAGTGTGGGCCATTAATGGTGGTCTGGAATCTTGATGGCTCCCATTAACCAAGACCATTGTCTGCAGATGGCTGTGTTTTACCTGTGAGTCTTCCTGTATGTGTGTGTGCTGGCAAGGGGGTAATGAAGTCTTGCAGTGACATGTGATCATGTCACCTGACCTGGAATCCATCTTTAACCTGGTGCGTTTTCC